CGTTACATTCCCAGGAGTGGGAGGTGTCATAGTTACTTTTTTTTTTTTTGTCATTGCTAGGACAAAATATCTGACACCTGAAATGAAAGAAGGAAAGGTTTATTTAGCTCACAGTCAGTGGAGGTTTTAGTCTATATTTAGCTGGCTCCAAGTGAGCCAGAAAGCAGCTGTTCCTGGCCGCGGTAAAGAGCGAGAGCAAAAAGAGAGGTGGCGGCTCAGGCAGCTAGCCAGCCTCTCCCCGCTTCTCACGCTGTGATGCAGAGTACCTGCTGCAGGACACTCACACCCATAATCCCAGCATTAGATTAACAATCAATCACAAACTCCAGAAGGTGTTCCATGGCTGCATGAGGCTTTAGGGGGACAACTAGACACAAACCATAACAAAGGGGACGCTAAAGAATGCAAAGTTCTTTACTCTGTTGGGGTATGTTACTCCAACTTTTCTATAACTTCTAATTTTCCTGTCAGTTCCTTCCTAATTCTTAAAGACTTCCTCCCTCCCTCCCTCCCTCCGTTTCTCCCTCTCTCCCTCCTTCCTTTCCTTGTGGTGCCTGGATTCTGGGTCTCAGAGAGGCTGCAGTTTGCTGCTCATTACTATTCTGCCATCTTGGTTTTTCATCCGCTATTTTAAACTCTTAAAATATGGAAAAGCCACTGAATGTGCATGTTAGGAAAGGTGAAGTATATATGAACAATATCTATCTATCTATCTATCTATCTATCTATCTATCTATCTATCTATCTATCTATCATCTATCTATCTAATCAGGAATCAAACTCAGGACCTATACTTGCCAGGCAGGTACTATGCCACTGAGCTATCTCCCCTAGTTTAAAAAGATAATCTGAAATGAGCCGAGTAACCTACATTTCTTTTCTCATTTATATAACTTACGACACGTGAGGTAATTTCCTACACACTATCTTAAGGGCACAGAATTGATATTCCTTATTTTTCAGAAATGCTAAAATTGATGCTGCAAGTTGACTAGAGTCAGGAGGCTGGAGACCTGCCATAGCTTGTACCTAGATGTGATTCCCAAAACGTCATGCGCTCATACATGGAGTTTTCTGGAGGTGGTTGGATTTAGGGTGTGTGAATATGCATTAAGTGTGTGTGACACTAAATTAGACCACTGAGTGGTTTATTGGAGTTCCGGGTGTAGATAACTGGGAGGCCCACTCTGGGTGTGGACAGACCACCCAATAGGCTGTAGCGTGGAAGAGACGAGAGAAAGGCAGGCACGCTGCTGTCTGCGTGCCCTCACGTGGACTGCTTCTCACGCACCACGGCCTTGCTGCCAACCATGAATGGACTGAAATCTCTACAAACTCAACTAAAATAAATCTTTCCTCCTTTAGCCACTTAACAGTCTACTCAGTGCCTCACTCAGGTAGCAAATTTGTTTGCATACTACCCTGGGTATCATTCAGTCAAGTGACATTTCAACCAACTGATATTTGTTTGTAGTAGGTACACTCACATTTTTATATTAACTATTCTTGCATACATCTTTATGTAGAATGTCGCATTTGGGCCGGTCAGACAGCACAGCAGATTAATGAGCCTGTTTAAGCAGAGCGCAGGGACCAGGGTTCAATCCTGTGTGCTGTGCTGGCTCCACCCCGGGGCGCGCTGAGACAGCAACTGAGACTGGGCATGGTAGTGCGCACCTGTAATCCCAGCACTTGGGAGGCTGACAACAGCAGGATAACTATGAGTTTAATCTGTGTAGTGAGACGCAGTGGACCCTGTACTAAATAGATAAAAATAAAGATAAAGAACATTGTATTTGCCTTTGATGTTTCTAATGAAATCTCGTAATAAGTTGTATTTTTTAGTAATTTGGGTTTATGAAAAAAATAACTATAATTCTGCCTTATGATCTATAAAACCTCATATTGTAAATACATTAGATACAATTTTATGCTTATCTAGAACTCAGTGATATATATAGATATAGATATATCTATCTATATATAGATATATCTATATATAGATAGATATATTTTTTTTCAATGTAAAACACATTTGGGACACTGAATAAGAAGGAAGTGCAATAAGTTTTTTTCAAAAAAAGGAGAAATGTTAGCATACCAGAGAGGAAAAGTCTATTGTGAAACAAAAAAGATGTATCCTATTGTCAATCATTCATGATACAGAAATGATAGAACTTGAAAGAAGAAATTAAACTAAAAAAATTCCAACAGTGGTCCACAAATTATACTAATTGTATGGCTGGTGTGAAAAAGCTGGCTAATATCTAACAAACTGTCCTATAATTAAGACGTAAAGAGGGAGATGGCTCAGTAGAATAAGTGCTTCCCTGGCAAGTGCAAGGGCCTGAGTTCAATCCCTGGTTCTGCCAAAAAAAAAAAATTAAGACGTAAAGAAAATAGAAAATATTTATACACTTTCTGGACCAAACAATATGGAATTCATTTGCTATTTATTCAAAGAAGAGGGTTCAAAAAATCATTTACAATTTAGAGTAGGTGTAATAGACCACAGAGAACTGAAAAACATGGGATCGCTACCAGGACCTCTATTATGGACATGTTCAGCACTACGTTTAGTGGGTAAACATTTTATTGAAATTATAACACCCACAGAAAAAAAGACCAGCACAACAGTGAAAAGTGTGTTGCTCCAAGACACAATGCCAAAAAGTTTTAGAAACTAGATACTATTGTGTAGATTGCAATGTTGTATTGTACACTAAATGTTTTAAGATATACCGTATATAGTATATCGTATATAGAAAATTCACTGGATAAAATTGTCATTTTTATATCTTCTATGATATTATAAAAATTAGTGAAAGCACATGCAGTTTTTGGTCCACCTGTATTCAAATAATGGACTGGGAAGTGATGAACTTCTGGGTGTCAGGCATTTGTCCCAGCCATGAAAAAATAACCAAGACAAGACCATAACTGCTAACGAGTACTGACTCGACTATCAGCTTTAATTCCTTCAATACTCTCACTCATCAAATAAAAGCTCTGAAGACATTTGCCCCTAAGATCACTTTAGCTTTTTGGTTTCTTGAATCACAAATTCTACAAGTATAAATATATGACATTTTAGCAGCTAAGAATAGGATAAGAAAAGCTAGAGGCTGCAAGCAGGCACAGTGCTGGGGTTCGATCTCGGGGCCTGCTCTGCTGGTCCTGCCCCTGGGGCACACTGAGAAGGCAACTGAGACTGGGCGTGGTGGCACACACCTGTAATCCTGGCACTTGGGAGGCTGTAAACAGGTGGATCACAATGAGTCTAATCTAACAGTGAGACCCTGAACACCCTGTAGACCCTTCCCTAAAACACAGAAAATAATAACAACAAAAAGCAAGAGAGAAGCAAAAAGAACTGCTGAAGAATTGTGATCAATCATGTCTATACAATGAAGCATTCATAAAAATCCAAAAAGATAGGTGCAGGGAGCCTCCAAGTTGTTGAATGCAAATGCATTGTTATAGTCTAAACCAGGTGGAGGAAATCTGAAATTATAAGTCAAGTATCCCTAGATTTAATCTTAAGGATTTGACAAGGAAATGAAAATTCAACTTGGTTGTCTTGTGCATGATGTTGCAGCCTGCACGTCCCACGTCTTGCTGTTCTGAGAACCAGTTTCACACAGATGCCAACCTCTGCAGTGGAGGTAAAATCTGACAATGCTTTCTGTACTTCTGTACTTACTGCACGGACAGAGCTTCTCTGAGAATTAGGTATGGGGTGCCCTCGACAATGGTTCAGTAGTCAAGAACAAGCAATTGAGAAGTATGGGGGAGCTGATGCCCATAGAGCCACACCCCTACCACGAGCAAGTTTAGTGCTACCTACACTTTCACCCAGTGAGCATGCAGTTTCCAGATTTCACGAGAGTAGAATTCTGAGTAGGATGGATCTCTAGGCGCCTGATAGCCAATTTCAAAATGGATCCTTTGAGTTTTCTTGTCGTTCCATTTTATTGTCCAGTCTCTTGCAAGTGCTCCTAGGGATCATTACACAGAGTAGCGACGAGGCTCTACCTTACGGAAACCCACACTAGGACACTGCCCTTCTAATCATCTGCCTCTGACTCAAGTTGAAGGATACATCAAAATGGACCAGGGGAGAGGGCTCAGTAGAATAAGCGCTTCCCTGGCAAGTGCAAGGGCCTGAGTTCAATCCCTGGTTCTGCAAAAAAAAAAAAGGAGCAGCTCACATTGGCTCTGCTTTTTTATTAATCCAAGCTTAGTACTTGAGATCAGTAATTTACCAGACGACAGAAAGCTAACACAAACACAGCAAATTAGAATGGGAAGGCAAACATTTAAGATAGTATTTCCCACATATTCACTTTATACCTAGACAAACAGGTTTAGGAATGTGGACTGATTGTCCTAAGTCTACACTGTGTCCTAATGTAGTAAACCCAAGTTATTAACGGTAGTGTTAAGTCCATACTTTGTATAATACAGGCATGACACAGGGAACCTCTTCAAAGTGGTTCTCCTCTCCTCACAGTTAATCTCTGAATCTACTACCTCCATCTTACAGGCAGGCAAATCTGATCACTTGCCTACCTTGCCAGGAAGGAGTGGAGCTGTACTTGAATCCGAGCCCAAGCTTCTAACCACTGTCCCATACCGCTTGATGAAGGAGGCTCTTGAACTCTGTATCAGGCTATCACATACAATGTTTAAGAGAATAAGCCAACCAGATTGCACAGGGTGCTATAGAATCTTTTAAAAGTTTGTGCAATTTACAGAGCAAGGAGATAGAGCTGAAAAGACAGCCATTAAGACTAAAGCAGATACACAGGTATACAAGCCCACAGGAGCTGGGCTTTCCCCTGGCTCTCCCGCTGTAACTGGCAGTTACAGTGCTGGTACCTCCAGCGCAATGGGCATGATCCAACAGACAGCTTGTTCCACTCTTCACTGTCAAGTAACACAAATACTGAGTAAATTTAAATAATAAACATAATGGCTATCATAAAAATGTACTAATACACAAGTAATTCAATTTTTATTTTATTGCTTATATATGATTGCAAAGTGAATTTTTAACATTGAAAACTTACTTCAGTACATTTAACACGTGTATCAGCATGAATAAGACAAATGAGTTCCATCTCTAGACAAGAAGACAAGAAACATTTTGGGGAATGGGAAGGTGATTCTCGGTAATCCGTGGTATTTATTCTAAAGGGTAATGAGCCCAGAAGTACTAAGAATGCATGTGCACTTTGTGTGTGTGTGTGTGTGTGTGTGTGTGTGTGTGTGTGTGTATTTGTTCAGGCAAATTCCAATCAAACTCTACATATGCAGCCACAGAAACACAAGCATAAGAGAACATTTAAATGCTGACTATTCGATGTTATATGAAAGAATGATATAAGCTAACTATACAGAGCAAACAGAAGATGATTAACAACTGATTATGAGTTTTAGGTATCTACTGACGTATGGCAATACAGTGAACTTCGACAAATCCCAAACTTTCTGTGTCTCAACTGCCTCCAGCACAGCTCTAGCCCTGACCCTGCAAGCATCCAAGCGTCAACTAGAGGAAAGACCCATTTCTGGGGAATCCTTGTTAACAGGACCTGTTCAGTCTACTGTACTTAGGATGAAAGCCTATTGTGATTTAAAAATACAACTCCCACCCAACAAAACCCAAATTAACAGTTTCCAAAGAGCAAGTGAAAGGTATGATAAACATTAAATGCAATGGTTTTCCTTTACATGCAAAGCATGCATTTGTAAGTTCACCAAGAAAAAAAAATTTTGTAGAGCAAAGTTTGTATTTTGCATGAATGGAAATTAATGTATATATTTTGTACTATTAAACTATACTTTTTTCATACAAAAGCACACAGTGTTAATTTATAAAATGGCATCCAAGTGGATGATGATTGTTATTTGTATGTCCCCCTGCTTAGATTTTAAATCCACAGACAAAAATTAATACAGTTCTTTAAAAATACAGAAGAAATGCAAATAAAAGCAATCACAATCTGGCTTACTAACTTGTGAAATATTTTACCCAGTAAGAAGAGGGAATGTTCCAGTGACAACTGTAATAGGCTCTTTTGGTCCCACAGCTGTGACTGCACTGTCATTCTGAAAACAAGGTCTGGATTGCCTGCACTTACCCAACAGCTCAGGATGTTTTAGTAGCATTTTATAGGTTTAAATCACTAGACCTTTTCTTTTTTTTAAGATTTGTATTTTGGCTTACATGTACTGAAGCACTTTTTAGTATGCTTATTTTCCTACCATCTCTTCTTTTTTATTTCTCCTAAAGGGGTCCAAAAATCTGCTACAAACACAAGGTTAAAGGATCCCATTCTTTGCTGCAATTTTCCAAAGAAACACAAAAGCCACTGAAAAGGTTTTCTTGAGTTACAATTTTATATATGGTTTGTGTAACTAAAAAAAAAAAGTTTCTGACAAGTGATTTTAGAAAAACTGTCCTAAGAGATATGTCTTTATTACTATGAGTTGGAAGTCCCTAAAATGCTTGAATGCAGAGTGCCCCGTGACCTCGGACGGACCCCACACCACAGACCTTATGCAGCATATTTGGTAAAACGCAGGCACTCTTTTCAAATGTAATGTTAATAATCCTAAACAGAGGACACATACAAGTTTCAGTTCAAATCTTACACATTAAAAATACATTTGGGATATTTTTTACTACAAAGATTGAAAACAATGCACAATATAAAAACGTAAATTAATTTGCTCTTAATAGAAATTGAAATGTAAAGACTCCTCACAGGTGAACCAGTAGCAATCTTAAATGTCCTTTTCTTCTATACTAAATATATATATTTAATTTAATTAACGAAGCCACAGCAAAATATCACTATCTTGTAAACTAATACATCTTACGATGTATAAATATTGCACAGTTCGGTACTCCAAAAGTAAGCTCTAAGCTTCTCAAGTGGTTAAACTCCCAGGAGAAAACAGCATATTATAAGAACTAGGTGCTTTAGAGTATGGCCATTTTAGAAGTCATAATGGAGGAACACCACTCAATAGATGTGGTATTACTCTAAACACAGTAAGGAATGCCTACTACATAGTACTAGAGTAGAAGACTAGAAAGATGCTGGCCACAACTTACTTAAAGAGTGGGGACAGAAAGCCATGTAACTGTTTTGCAACAGGATTAGGAATACATTTACTTTTGCAGATAACCAAAACTAAAAGCAATTCTATTTCTAAGCAGTTGTGTAAGTAGTCAAGAAATACAGTAGACACTTCATACGTTTTCAATTTTTTAAAAAAATTACATGTTTGTGGAAAGTTTAAAATACACTGTTTCACAATGTAGGAATATATGATTTATATGTGCTCAACTCTAAAAACCAAAAGGAACCTAAAATCAAGTTAACATGGCATAATCTATCTTCAGAAGTGCTCACATACCGCTCTCAAACTTCTAGTATGGTACACCAGCCGCTTGTTTAAAGTAACTTCTATCATCATTTTCAAACAATATGTTAATATGTATTAAGTAAACCCTGAAAAGTCGGCCTGCACCTAATTTTTAGGCTTTACAAGTCGATGCTGAGGTCTTTGCGAGCAACTTAGTACACACAGAGATCTGGAAACTTCATCTCATAGACTGGGACGGACTGGTACTGAGCATGCCCAGAAGTAATGGTCAGGGTTCCTGATGGACTCGGAGGAGGACTGCAAAGGAGGAATGACGTAAGTCAGCAGGCATATTTAAAAGTTGTTTATTTCATAGAGTATTTTACCTGTTATATACAAAATAAGTTTTCTTAATTGCAAGGGATACAATAAAGATGCTAGCTAGTTCTAGGCTGTATGGGTAATAGATCACAGCAGCATCATGTTTTAAAGCCTAAAAAAGGCATTAGTCTTTGTAATATATAGTTTTTCATAATGAGATTACATTGTGTATTCTTAAAAGCCGCTCAGTTTCACAAGCAAAACATCTTTTGTGCATACATACACTGTCCCTTTTCAATAACAGTTCAGCATTTCATCATATGCATATGTCATTTATTCTACTAGACAAATGTGGTTCTCTTAAAAGCTCACTTAAGTTGACAGACAATATTCCAATCTTCCATATCATTTCTAAAGTGTTCTTGCGGTTATGTTTTAATAATCTTATGAAAGAAAGGTTAAAATTTGTATTTCATTACAATAGTATTAAAATCTACCTTTGCCTGTGAATGCTTTCACAGTGTGTGCTATTTTAAGGACTTTCTTACAAATTCCAATAACTCCGCCATCAGGGATACTGCTTTAGTCTGTATATTTTGTACATTTTTTTCCCCTGCACCCAGGTTACAGTGAATGAAAGAACAGTGTGGACTAAAGTTTAATACTGTTGTATTAAACTTGGGGTTGCAGATAGAGCACTTGTGTCTAGAAGGGTCACCATCACGGAAGTGTAGCCTGCCTGATTTTTTAAAATTTCAGTGTGTTTTCTGTTTTTGTATATCCAAGGCATGTTTTCCTCAGCATCACATCTTATTCTAGGTACTTCCCTGCCATTCCTTCCACCCCTTCTGAAGTAGTCACTCATTTCCAAAACTTAAGCGTAGAGATTTTGTCTGAAACATACAGTACTCTATAAACCCAGTTTCCAGAGAAACTGAGTTGGGGCCATTTGTGTCTTTGGTGTCACCTAGCTGTGATACACATGTCCTTTGTGTACCTGTTCTTGTGTTGCATGCTTCATATCTAATACTTCTGCAAAGGGCCCTGAAGGGGTTTTTCTTCATTTTCCAGGTGAAGAGACCAAGTATTACAGTAGTAAAGTGACTTGGTGAATGGTGAAGTCGAAGTTTAAATCCTCAGCCATGTTCTTAAGGAGAATGAAAAAGAAAATAGTTTCTTTTTCGGAGAGTACAACTCCTTCCTGCTGGGAGGGTAAGGCAAACTAACAAGAAAAACTGTACGGCACAGGACTGAAAACTCTAAAGGCACAACGAAAACTTAACAGTATAACGCGTGCTTTACTTTAGTTTCTCTGTATCACGTAAATGATCCTAGAACTCCAACTTCCAAAGTGACCTCGGATAAGTTACCTAACTTCTGCGAGCTGGTTTTTACACTGATAAAAATTAGAAAAAATGCTATTTTTAGAATCTATTACAATTATTAAATGAAACAATGCATTTAGCATAGAATCTGGAATACTGTTAAGCAGTCAACAAGTGTTGGTCTATTACTAGGAAGTGTTTAAAGTAAGAAGCAGTAGTTGCAGTACCAAGAAAAAAAAGTTAGCCATGATACCTATTCTAAAACAACTAATTTCTACATCAGTATACAGTATAGTATACGGCATGGTACACAGTAACGACATAATTGCTACATCAGGGTGATTAAATGCAGTGAGGATCCCTAGCAGCACTCTCCGTAAGAATATAGAATACTGTATGTTTCAGACAAAATCTCTCCTCTGAAGCTTTGGAAATGAGTGACTACTTCAGAAGGGGTGGAAGGAATGGCAGGGAAGCGCCTAGAATAAGATGTGATGCTGAGGAAAACATGCCTTGGATACACAAAAACAGAAAACACACTGAAATTTAAAAACATCAGGCAGACTACACTTCCGTGATGGTGACCGTTCTAGACACAAGTGCTCTATCTGCAACCCCAAGCCCACTTACTTTTGCCAAGCGCCAACACTGCAATTAAACCTGAACACTGAGGTTTTATTAAAAAAAAAAAAAAAAAAAAACCTCATATACTGACATCTTTTGTCTTAAAAGAAAAACAACATGTGTGCCATAGTTTTGTCACTACTAGACTATTTTTCAGTCTCTTCCATTCATAAGCTACAAGGATTGATGCAAAATGTACTTGACTAATCAAGTTAAAAATATAAAAGACATAGCTGACTAAAAAAAATTCCAGAAGCACAGCTCTGCGTGGCTCCTCTCTTGGGTCACTTTACACACAGGCTGATTTGCACACCAACGCCAGTGTAAGGCCCAGTAGAGTTCTTTCTTTGCGTAAGTCTTCATAGCACCATAATGAATAAATCAATGATCTAAAAGAAGCAGCTGGAAGACAGCTGGACAGGAAATGGTGTTAGACTTCACCTAGTACACAGAAGACTAAGACAAAAGGGCAGTTACATAATCTTTATTCTCAATGAAAAGCACAATTACTTACACATAATCAACTAAAAAGTGAAAACAGTCTGTTCCTATTTTTTTGTGTTACTGCTACTATAGTGAGAAAACAAAACAAATAAACAACTTCTTACCGTATAGTGAGTTCTAATATTTGAGCAAGTCTATCATGGAGTAAATTTGCCTGCGGAAAAGAAAAGAAATGTTAAGAAAGGATTTATTATTTTCTAAATACTTAATAATAGAAATGCAATTTAAAGGACAAAACACAGCTACAATATAACTGTTAAGCTAACAGTACAGAATGGTTTGGGTTGATCTAGAGTATCCATTGGAATTCAATATAAAGTTTCCCCCTTTTTTCTAACATCACTGCTAAAAACAAACTGACAAGCAAAGCACAGCACCATCACTGAAAACTATTTTAGGAAAAGTGCCCATGTAGTAGTGTGGAACAGGAGCTCCCATCACCCAGCGCACCAAGGCTCGGAGCAACTCCCCAGCCACCAGACGCGCTCCCACGCACTGCCCCCTCCTGCCACCTCTGTGCACTTACTTTGGACTCACACTGCGCTGCTATTTCTTCAAAAGGCGCTTTCTGGAACTTCTCTATTACAAGCCGTCTCTTTTCCTTTTCTTGTTCTTCCATTACATTGGTATCTGCACAAGCATTTATAAAGACCCATTAAAAGGAATGCAGAGTTTCATTAAAATCCTACCTATGACCAAAAGAGCTAATGAACTACAAACCAAAATTAAGGGCAACTTAAAAGGCTACTTTTATAAGGAAAAAACCAAAAGGAATAAGAACATTCTTATACTGTTTAAACTAGAAACACATACTTATTTAAAAGAAATCTTAAAGGTAAAGCGACACAGCAAAAGGTCCTTTTCCCTATAGTAACCTGTGTCTCTCTTACCAAAAAAAGAAAACTTTCTATACAAGCCGAACAACTTCAAGGTCTTTCCTGAGAAAGGGTTCTTTTATTTATAACTATGACTTTACACATATAACATACTAATTTGTTCAAGTGAAGCCTGACATTGAATATAGTAAGTGAAATACAAACAGGGTATTTGGATCTACACTGAGTCTTACCACAACTTGAAAAGGGATTTTGTCTTCACTGATACTTGGTCAGGCTCAGGTTTTGAGATAACACAATAACAAATGTTTATCTTTTTGACACTAAAAAGATGTAACTGCTTGCTTGCTTATGAATACAGATACAAGAATCTGAAAAGCTTAAGCAATAATTTAAACAAATGTTATGTTTATATAGAAAACACAAGCATTTTCCCTTTTTTGCCATGCTGCTTTTCTTCCAGTATCTAAGAGTATTCAATATAAAAATGAGCCAAATATTAGCAGAGCTAACACGTGTACAGTATCTCACCAATTGCTTTCTTCAATGCTTCGAAGGTGATTTCTTCAGTGTTACTAACCTACGGAAAAGTGATTTTAAGTAAAGCAGAATTAAGAAAAGTCATAAATAGTAAACTACAAGTCATCTAAGAACTCTGCTGTGTTGTTTGCTTGTTTTGGTGTGACATGGGCCTATGCTCTAAATCTCAGGCGTTCCCTGCCTGCGTCACGGTAGTCACAGCTGCCCACGGCAGTGGTTCTCAAACACGCCTGCAGATTCTCCTCCAGTGGCAGATTCGCACTGCCTCAACAACTCAGCCACCTTCGGGTTCCAGAGCTGGCCCAGTCATAGGATGCACAGCAAAATCTGAATCTCACTGAACTGTGCTTCCTAAAGCGAATAATGCTTTCAAATAGGCAAGGCTGAGACTATAAAATACATTTTCAGCTTTCATCACAAATAAACATTGATTATTCTACACATAGCCTAATTTTGTTGCTACTGAATATATAGTTTAAAAATTAAGAAAAAGACTATGACTTTAAATGGTTTAAAAGAATTGCTACTTAGAAAAGTGTTCAATGAAAAGTTTATCAACATCATAAAATACATGTACTCTGGATATTCTAAGGTCAACCTGCTAGTTTTTATTTTCTGTAAACACTAACTTGGGTTCTTAAGTATCTCTTACTTTGAGATATTTACAGTTTGAAATGTCCTGCTTTGTTAAACAATTAGTAGTACTTTTTGTGAAAGCAGCACTTTCGTAGGAGGAATAATACATCTAGTTACTATAGTATCTCAATAAAAATTAAGAAATGATGTGTAAGTACTTGCCTGGGACTGTGGTCATCCCTAATTTTAGCTCAAGAGCTTCTTTTGCTAAGACTAAGACGGCAAGACTAATGAAAGCAAAAGACTTCATGCTCTGCACCTTAGCTTCTCTGTAACACAAAGGCTTTAGCTGGGTATCAAGCAGCGAGAGTTCCGCTACCTCAGTTTTTCTACTGAGGGCCCACATTTCTAGTTGAAGTCAGATTAAACTTGGAATCTTCAGTTGCTTTGTTCTAGACATCTGGAGCAGACATACAACATTAGGCTTTGGCTTGTTAATTATTTGTACCTAAAAACATTCTAGTATTTTAATGAAAAATAGCTCCCTATTACTCTTACATCTGGCTAAGAGTTTCAGACTTCTAAGAACCAACTACAGTGCAGGAAAAAGGATGGGAGAAATTAGAAGGTCAGCATTCTTGCTACATTAATATCTTTGTCTTAAAATTTGAATAATTATTAACCACTAACTGGTAAATAAATGATGTGAATTTCTCTTGTCTATGCTATGAAACTAGTTTTCGTCTAGAAGAGTGACAGCAAACCTTTCACGAGACAGGTGCCCATCCTGCAAGCCAAGCCCACTCACTTATCAGTGTGCCAACACTGAGGTTAGACCCGAACACTGGTTTTAGCTTAGAAAAATCAACTCATACATTAATATCTTTTATTTTAAAACAAAACATGAATGCCATAGGTTCACCATCAGTAGTCTAGAAGGTAATTTTATTGTCTTCTGATATTTGAAGATGTGTTTCTAGCACACGAAACCAAATTCCACAGTGGTGAATGAGTTTGAAACTCTAATGTGCTCAAATAACTATGACACTAAATTACTTTTCAGGTGCTCAGGGTGAGACATGTCTGACTGAAGATTTATAATCTCTGAACCATTAAGAGTATTAACGGAATTTGAATGTGAAGTTCATGTCAAGAACCTTTGCTTTGCACTGTTTTCATGCAAAACTTTTAGTTCATTTTATTAAAATTAACTCTGCTAGATATACATTTTTGAAAGAGATAAAAATATAAAAATAAGAATGGAAGCTGGGCATGGTGGCATAAGCCTCTAATCCCAGGACTTGGGAGGCTGAGGAAGGAGATTCACTGTGAATTCAAGGCCAGCCTGAACTGCAGGAGACCTTGTATCCAAAAAAGGAAAACTATCAGTCAATACAATGCACTGCACTCTTCACAAAAGTCACTTCACAGAGCAAGGCTCTGAATAAATTTCTTCCTTCAAAAGGTCATGGTAGCAAATTCATAATCATTAAAAGAATTAGTAAGATATTCTCCTTACTAGTAAGGAGTCATGGAATTAAAAATGGCTTCAAAGAAAGAGATTAACTTAGGGAAGATTCTTTATCTCAAGCTTAAATATGTAAGAATCTTTGCTTTAATAGCCTAAGTTTTAAAATAAACACAAACTGCCTCTTCAACTACTCTTGATGAGCTACTAATAATTTCTTAATTGATTATTTCTTCAGAGCGCAAAGTTGACAATATATGTTAGTTGGCAATTCCTTGATTACAAATAATTTTAATTCCTGAAAATAAAAGAACTGACAGGGATTGAAGAGGCAGGGAGGGGAAAAGAAGCTGAAAAAGCATCAGTTCAGACACTTTCTCTTTTCTTTACAGGAATATTCATTCAGCTATTCATGCTGTCCAATGAGAAGTGATGCTACATCCAGGAAGGCAGACAAGAGATGAAACCACCAAAGGGGGCTCACTTGATTGGCTGGAATTGCAGAATTCAAAACACTGGCTACCAGAAATTACCTATAAAAATTTTTCTGGTGGTTTGTGTGAAATAAGTCCTACAGATTACTAACTGCCTTTTTGTCTCCATAACTTTTTTTTTTGCGGAACCAGGGATTGAACTCAGGCCCTTGTGCTTGGCCAGGGAAGTGCTTATTCTACTGAGCCATCTCCCTAGCCCCCTTGCCCCCATAACTTAAGAGGGTATACTCTTGGCACTCTACTGAAATAGGAAGAAAACATTACATTTATGAAGTTTCAAATAGCCACAGTCCTGAAAACACATGTAATTCACTGGCATGCTACCCAAAATGATTCCGACATCTAGGTAGAAATTTTAAAGTTCCCCAAAAGTAGTGAGTAGCTTGGTTCATGTGAGGGTGTATAAGTCCATTTGTCTCTGCAATTGATATATCATAAATAAAATTAAAAAAAAAAAAAAAAAAACAGGGCCAGACAGCTCAGTGGATTAAAGCACCTGCTTAGGCAGACACAGGGTCTGGGGATTCAATCCCTGGCCTGCCATGCCAGCCCCACCTGTAAAATAGGAAGGATCACTATAAGTCTGATATGTGTAGTGAGACCCAGTAGACCCTGTACTAAATACATTAAAAAAAAAAAAAACAAAAAACAAAAAAAAACACCAGGATGCAGATAGCCCAATCCTTCACATAATTCTCTAACACTGCTTCTTTTACTATAATGAATTACAGAGTAACATATAATTACTATAACATATAATGTTAATGAATCTTTACAGATAGCTTGAATGAGCTCAGAATAATCAATTATAAGCAAACAGGTTAAATGAGATAATTTCCACCAATATTTTAGCTCTTTGGAGGCTAACTTTAAGTTGTAGTTTCTCTCATGTGCAACTGTGGAGGTCAAAAATTTATCTTCGTGTCTATTTTAAGGCAGTGCTCCTCCACTATAAACTCCCAGTAACTCACCATATCATCAGAAGGAACATTGTTGGGTAAAATATCCACTTGAATTGATACAGTGTCCACAATGCTCTTTCTCCTAGAAAGGCGATCTTCATCTAAAATATAAAAATTTCCCCATTCTTTGTTAGAAATGTTATTAACCTTCCATGAGATTTCAAACAATTTCAGAAAATTGAGATACCTTTTATATCTTTCAAAATATAGGATTTTAAAGTAAGTTTTACTTTGCAGAAAAATCATTTTACATACTTACAACATACTAATACATGTATAATTTGTGGAATGATCAAACTGGGCTAATTAACTTATCTATCACCTGAGGTATTTATCCCATTTCAGGTGAGAACATTTAGATTCCTACTTTTTATCTACGCTGCAACAGTAATTACTCCTCAGGCCAGCATGCTATGCAACAGAACACAACTTACTCCTAACTGAACCTCTTACACAACTTGACCAATTTTTCTCCTTTTTCAGTTCACTCCTGCTCCTCGCCTGTAGGAGACCCCTCCAGGCTCTTGTCTCAGTCCAAGAAGTCAATTTGTAATCCCAGAGACACATTATTGGAATCCCACCAAGTTAATTCCAAACTACCACTCCCAGTGCAACCCACAACAAAAGACACTAAAACCTATTTATAATTATTGGGGAGCCAAGGGGCCCTAAGTCCAGTCACTAAGATGGCCTTCCAGAACAAAGAGAATGACCCAGGGCTGTACTCGTGTTTTATTCAGCAGAGAAAGAGTGGCTTGAGGAAGAGAATTGCGGGAAGTAGGTGATTATGTGAGCTGGGCTAGGTGGGTGGTCTGCATTTACCTCTACCATATACAGAGAGAGTAATTTGCTTTATGCTATTGAGATAGTACCTAATGTTTCTAGGGACTGGTGCGTCAGCTCTGATGTGTAATCTTTCAAGCCCCAGGAAGTCATAGCCACTATTTCCAGGCTCGATCCCAGCCGACAGCATGGAGCACTGGCTCTTCATCCTGTCTCAATCTGGCTCATACTGGAGAGCACCAGGTGTGGGTTATCAGGGAAACATGCACGCAGTCTTCAAAAATTACCACCAGTACCTCAGCTAGACATTGCTTAAGGCCAATTAAAAGGATCAAGTGAAGTCCTAGCCAGCTTGGTACACATCAATACAAGGAAATAAGGTCAGGCTCAGCCAAATGAAGATAACTGCTCTTCTTTCAAGGAGAGCTGCTCAAGTGATCCTCCACACTCGTCCAGCCTCTGCTAACCACTATGGTACTTTCTCTCTGTTATGGTTTGTGTCTAGACGTCCTCCCAAAGCTTCATGCGGTCACACGGGGGCTTTTCCAGAAGTGATAGAATCTAGTGTGAGATGCTGGGGCTGGGGGTGTGCGCTTATTAAATCAGTCCTCTGATTGATTCAGTAGCACCCTGGTCCTGGTGACCTGGATACGGTAAAAGGGACAGAAACAGGCTTATCTTCCTCTTGTTCCCTTGTTGCTTTTACTGTCTTCTGGGGCCAATGAGACAGTTCATTGGCCCCAGAAGACAGTAATGCCTATCTGTGATGCCTATTTGCCACGCCACCCTGCCTTGGAGCTGGCCGATTTCAGACTGACACCACAAACCGTGAAGCAAAATAAATCTTTCTTTCCTTTTTAAAATTTTGGGAGTCAATTACTTTGTCTCAGCAATGAGAAAAGTAAGCCACCTATCATACCAGTACTTCTCGTGAGATCACATGGTATTTGCCTTTCCATAGTATGACCCTTAACATACTGTCCTCTATGTTCACTCATTGTGCCACGAATGCCACAATTTCCTGGCTTTTTTTTTTTTTTTTAAGTTCTGAATGGCAGTTGGTCGTGCATATATACCGCATTTTTAAAACCCATGAATCTGTTGACAGGCTGCCCTGCAGGCTGTTTCCATAGCCTGGCTACTGTAATGTTGCAGGGAACACTGAGAATGTGGATAACGCTGGCACGGTGCAGTCCCAGAAGCAGAGCACTTGGATAGTATGGTAATTTTATTTACACCAACCATGTTGGTGGGTTTTTTGTTTTTTGTTTTTTGTTTTTTTTTTTTTTTTTGAGATGTCACCATCAAATGGCTGCAATAATTCAGTCACCAACAGCAGCATACAACACTGATGTACAGCTGCTCCCTCCAGCACATCCTCAGTACTTGGTGGCTTTTATCTTCTGACATAAGCCAATCTAACAGGTGTGAAATAACATTTCATTGTGGTTTTCATTTGCTTTTCTTTGATGCTTTAGTGATTTCACAATTTTTTTAACCACGAGTATGTCTTATTCTGAGAAATGTCGCATCCTTGCCCATTTTTTACTTAAATATTTTTCTTTTTTTTTTTGACATGAGGTCCTTGCTAAATGTAATCTTGTCAATCTTGGAGTTTTAAATTTTATGAAGCATTAAACAGTACAATGGGATGGGATACTGAAAAAAGGCTAACCATTTTTTATTTTTTGAAAGTAGTATTTAAGAACACCAACATCAGCAACTACAACCTAATAGCTTAATAAAATGCAAAATAATAGTAAACTTCATCCCAAAAGAAAAAAGCATTTAGCTAAAATTGATCGTATTTTGGTAAAAAAAAAAAAAAAAAAAAAAAAAAAAAAAATGACA